AAAGTTTAAAACCCTCCACTCCATTTCCCATAAGGTGGGGGCTCCTGGAGGAGGTTTGTCTCATTAATATGAAATAAATCACATTAAGAAAGTCTGTGATTCGTGGAGAGAGCAGAGCATGGAGCTTCTAGAGCTCAAAGAAAAGAATCCCATGTTCACAGTGGCTCCCACCATAGCCTCAAGCAAAACAGATGCAGACCTCTGGCAATCTCTGAGTGGCCAGGGGTCAGTGCCTGTCAAGTTATCTGGCTCCACTGCTCAGGGTCCCATAAGGTGACAGTTAAGGTGTGGGCCAGACTAGAGCCTTTCTGGAGTTAAGAAGTGGGCCTGTTCAGAGTCCTCTTCTGAGGTCACATGGTTGTGGGCAGAATTCAGTTCCTTACAGTTGTAGGAGGAGGCCCTATTTCTGCTGGCATAAGTTGGAGATGTTCTCAGGTATCTGAGGGGACGTGACCCCTCATAGGGCCCTGGTACCTGGCAGGTTGCCTCTGAAGGCCAGGGAGAGGCTCTCTGCGGCTTCTAGACCCTCTACTACAGTGCTCACCTGATCAGGACAGGCCTGCCAAGCACAATCTCCCTTTGGCTCAACTCAAAGTCAGCTAACAAGGGGATTTAATTACATCCCGGAAACCCCCTCGCCTTTGCCATATAACATGACCTAGGCTCAGGTGACAGCCCTCCATTAGCAGCCCTGTCACGGTCACAGGGGGAGATGTGTGTACACCAGAAAGAGGGTGGGAATCTCAGGCCCACCCTAGCATTCTGACACCCTTAGTGCCTGAGGCCGAGCTCACACAGTGGGGAGCACCCCTAGCCAGTGACATAGAGAGAAATGCTTCCTGTTGGCACACACCTATGGATGGCCTAGAAGCCACAGCTGGAGCCTCACATCGGGGCAGTTCACCAGGGCCCTGGGCTTGGGCAGATCCCCTGCAACCTGACACACCCCCCCCCAGCCTAAAAGCCCAGGGGTGCAGTGAGAAGCCAGACCCAGGTGCTGGGAGGGCCTGGGGTCTCAGCACGCTCCTCTGACCTCAGGGTCACCCTGTGCTCCAGGCATCCACATGGGCCTTTTTCCTGCAACTCCAGATTCTCGCTCAGGACCTCTAGCTGATCATCCTCTTCCCAATACCTGTCTAACATGAGGGTTGGACCAGACTGCCCGAGACCTCACTTCCGCGTCTGGCCTCTATGATTGGATGACCTGAGCCCCTCACTGGCAGCCTCCCAGCAGGAGACAGGTGTTCCCACAGAGACCTGAGAAGTCCAGGGATGGCACAAATAAACTCTGTGCTGGGGCTAATGGAGACTCACAGTGCAGACATTATCCCTAACACCACAGAGATTGTGTCTGTGCACACACTGCCTGTAGTGGAAATCAGGCACAAGGGGAACAGATGATTTTATGGCTACACCGATTTTCAATTTCTCTCTAAGTATTTTTCTTTTTCTTTCTCTTTCTTTCTTTCTTTCTTTTTTTTTTTTTTGAGATAGGGTCTTGCTGTGTTGCCCAAACTGGGCTGTGTTGTCTCAAAATCCTGGCCTCAAGTGATCCTCCTGCCTCAGTCTCCCAAAGTGCTTGGATTACAGGTATGAGGCACACCATGCCCAGCCCTCTCTAGGCATTTTACAATTTTCACCACATCACGTACATGGGCCACATCTGTGGACGTGCACACTCTCCATTTTCCAAAGAAATGCAAAATTATAGAATAATAGAGCTGGAAGGACCCTTGAGATGCTCTGGCCTCAGCACCCACCCCATAGCGGAAGAATCTCTGCAAGCTCCCTGCCAACTGATTTCTCAGTCTCTGCTCAAATATCAACAGCGACAGGGGATTTTCTCTCCCTGGGACAGCCCACTTACATGGGTTCCTTTCCATCCTTGTAACTTTCCACCCTTTGCTCTCCCTGGGCTGCAGAGAGAAAGCTGGCCCCACTGCCATGAAGACCTTTCTGTGGCTTGGAAGCAGCTCTCAGGCTTGCAGTGGACACTGCTGTCAGCCCAGACCAGGCTCCCTTGCTCCTCATGAACAGGAGACTGTGAATGTGTCCACCTCTCCCTCCCAGTGACAGGGGCTGCATGACCACGCTCTGGCCAGGGAAGGTGGGCAGTGCTCGGGCCATCTGTAGGGAAGTGGTGCCCCTCTCCTGGTGGGGGGCTTCCTCGCAGAGGCAGAGATCTGAGCCCACTCCCTGCTGGCTTATCTCCCAGGGTCTCTGTGATAAGCACAAATGATCTTGTCTGCCTCATTGGGAAACCTTTCCCCTTGCTTATCTCAATGGAAAATTCCAGTGGGGATTTCTGACCGCCAAGTTAAATTCCTCAGCTCAACAAACTAGCGCATGGCTGCCCGCCAGGCTGGGCAGAGCAGAGGGGAGCAGAGCAAAGAAAGCAAAGCCCTGCCCAGGTGCCCAGAGCCTGTAGGGACAGGACAGCCACCTGCAGAGCAAGAGCCAGCCACCCAGGGTTCATGCTTGGGACAGAGGGCGCAGGCAGCAGCGTCTGACTCACCTGGCCAGAAGGGAAAGGGGAGGGTCCAGGAAGACCCCTCCCAGAAGGAAACGCTGAAACAGGCAGATGCGTCTGAGAAAAGGAAGGGTGTCCTGGACGAGGACGAGCTGCTGGCACAGTGTGAGGGCCCAGGACACTGAGCTGAGGGCAGAGGGGCCCTGGAGGGTGCTGCCAGCAAGCAGAGTCTGGGGCGGGTGGCAAGAGGGGTGGCAGTGGAGGGCAGAGCCAGGGTGGGTGGAATGGCTCAACTCTGTGATGACTTGAGCTAGAAATGTGACAAAAGTCATCTACCTCTTACTGAGCACCCACTACGTGCCAGGCACCATGCTGAGCCCTGGGCTGAGGTATCTGATCAGATCCACACATTCTGACAGCAACCACACCCTAGGTGCCCAGGTCACCATCCTCCTGCCACCTGCATCTGCTCAGGAACAAGGAGTCCTCAGGAACAAGGGACACCACTTCCAGATCACTCTCCTGGATTCCGGGGCAGATGATTCACTGAACATGAGTCACAGGGGTGTAATGAGCACAGGCCGTGCCAGTGT